CACATTATTTTATGAAAGTTCCTGTCATAAACACAGTCATTTCTATTTGCTTACTTTATGTTCAACACTTTTCATAATTAATGCTGTATTGTGTACATTCAGTGGGCTGAATCTCACGTGTCCAGGAGTCAATGCACCTCAGTATTTGTATGAAACTGTGTGGGTAGGGCGCACTCGTGAACCGACATGTTTAACCATAATCCGTACCATCAACATTCGAGACTAACGATCGCCCGGAGCAGAAGCTAAACATTGCGCTTTTATGATTAGTTTTACGAAGATTAACAAAACCATTTTTACGATCGTAAGATGAATAGGTTCCTTACGTATGCTCAATCTGGATATTAAAACGTTTTTATCTTATAACTTTCAGGCAACTGGTCTCTCGTAAAGTGTTTGAAACATAAAAAATACAATTGTAGACAAACATCATTCGACTTTCTACTTCTTGATAAGTGTTTATTATTCAATAAAAAAGATGTAATTGAAGCAACAGCAACTGGAATTAAAACGTGGAACGTGCTCTCACTTGACCAGTGTCTTACGATATGGGCGTGGCTCAGTTGTTTTTATCTAATTTCATGATGACTGTGGTTTGATTCTTGCGCGATTTTCACTAGTATCGGTTTTATATCATAAAGTGACATGCGACCACCTGAACACCGAAAATTGCAAATTGACCGTTGCCTATCGGTCAATTTGCGATTTGCCTACCTATGTACATCCCAAATCGGAGGTGCGTCGCGTCACCAATTAATCCGCGAAGGTGGGGACGCACAGGATATTTCTATTTATAGAAATAGGTAGGACGGAAATCTCTCCTCTGGTTCTATAAAGTAACCAACCAAAATTACAATTAACTAAAGAACTGATAGTTATTATAGGTCATTTTCACGCTTATTGAAACTAATATTGGTCGTAATTAGACCATTTAATTCGATTAACCTTTGTATACTTAATTGACTATGAACTCGTTGAACATATTTGATATGCACTTTCGTAAGGCCTCTTAATCTAGCAACACCTTTCTTTACACACCTTTATGCCCTTAATGGTGGTGAAACTTCGGCATTCATATCACGTTTACTCATCTTCCCTCTGCCATAATTATTAAAATTTAAACTCTGAGCTCTAAGGGATAAGGTATCAAATTCCTTGTTCGAAAATTTCTGTGATAGTAGGTTAAACAAGTTTAATTAACGTTTAGTTTGTTTATCCATTAAGTTCCACATAACAATAAAAGTGTATGCACAAATTCGTTTTATGAATGTTTGATTTTAGTACCACATTTTCTTCACATAGTTGCCTGAATATTCTTGATTTATCTAAATACTAGCTATCGTCCGCGCCATGGATATATAAAAAAACTTAATTTGTGTAGCCTATGTGTTCTTTCAAACTATTTTCTATACGTATGCCAAATTTAATTGAGATCCGTTCAGCCGTTCTAGAGATATCTTCAAACACCCTTCGATCCATCCACATCACACCATCTAAACATTCACATTTATAATATTAGTTAGTTAAATAAAAAGCAGCTCTTCAAGGCGTAAATTCGAAAAAAATGAGTAAAAAGTATCCCATGTCCGTCTCCTGGCTCTAAGCTACCACCTCATCAATTTTCAGCCATATCGGTAAAGCCGTTCTTGAGTTATAAATAGTGTAACTAACACGACTTTCTTTTATATATATCGAAGATAAGAATAGTAAGTTGATATCCGAATCAATAATTTTGTTTAATTCAAAAATCCTTGGACACGTCCAGTATTCTTACGTCAACATTTCGTGGAGTGAATAAAAACTTCTTTTATTACTTACTATACAAAATATTAAATTATCGAATCGTGATCACGTGATCAATTTAAAAATATGATAAACTAGCTATCGACCGCGACTCCGTCCGCGTGGATATATAAAAAAACTTCATAGTGTAGAGCCGTTCAGCCGTTGTAGAGATATCTTCAACACCCATTCATCCATCCACATCACATAAATTCGAAAAAAAAAAGATATTAAATAGCATCCTATGTCTGTCTCCTGGCTCCAAGCTGTATCTTCACCAATTTTCAACCGTATCGGTAAAGCCGTTCTTGAGTTATAAATAGTGTAACTAACACAACTTTCTTTTATATGTATAGATTAGACACAAAGTATCACTATTTAATAATAGTGTTGCATTGCATGCATTTAAATGTTTATTTTTTGTTAATAATTAAGACAAACATGAAAATTATACGCACGACATTCATGTATAATCCGATCGTGAAATATTTTCTAACTGTAAGTTTCCTTCAGTGCAATACCCTTACTAAACATAATGTTGTCTCAGTTTTATCAAAGAAGATGAGAAAGATAGCAATCTTTTTTCGCACTGCTTTGGCAGAGAAACCCTAAAGTAAGTTATTCTATATTCCTGAATATTATTGATTTAACGGTCGCTTATAAGGTATTTTGTTTCTCTGGCCATTCTTTTACTACAATAAAGGTACGCGTCCATTGACCTGCGCCGGACGCACCGCACACGCGGTCCGTAATTTGTCCGGATTCATTGTTAATAAATGCCGTCTTTCCATGCGGACGACGCGGATGATGGACGCAGCACTATGTAAAATCATACAAAGCAAACTATAATTCGTTGCGAACCGTGCTTGCGGTGCGTCCGCGTGAGCCAATGGACGTTTACCTTAAAAATTTTATGTTCTAATTTACTTACTCATATTTTATTAGTGTCGTTCTGTTGATTAGTGGTTTAGTTTTTTTTTTACAATTTTGCTTCGTACATTTGTAATTTTACCGGGAAAAGAGGCCAATTACCTTGCAATTACAGTTTCAGTTGCGACCCAACATTAATTCTAGTAAAAGGTTTTTATTTTACTTTCGTTGTGGGAGCTTAGTACTTTTACAGTGTGTTTTTTATTTCTAACATTAAAAAAATCTTTATATGATATCTATTAATTGAAATTATTATTTTTTCACTCCTCGCAGTACTTATAAAGTAATTTTATGGTATGTAATTAATAATTTATACTTTTAGAAATTGGAACATACTATATAGAAGTTTAATACGTATCCCTTAAAGGCATTTTGTTGTTTGTTCAAAAGTTATCGTTCAGTCGGTCGCTAATTCGGGAAGCTCTTTGAATCCGACCCGATCCGGTGCTGCTCAAATCCGTAAAGACAAAGTTTCATCCAAAGTGTTGTTCTATAAATACTTTAGTTAACGTGTTTCGTAAGCTTAATAGATTAAATAAAACCTCTCGAAACATATTTAATACTTCTAATTGATTTTGCATTTATGTATAGTAATTTTTTAATTATTATTTTTTTAATGCTGTGTTTAACCAGTAATTGAACGAGACTTCTTCGTGCGGAGTTAAAAAATTAAAACTATTAATAGATATACTGTGTGCGTCGGTGGCTCAGTGATCAAGCACTTGACTTGCAATCTGCAGGTCCTGGGTTCCAATCCGGCCATCTACCAATGTGCTTTTCGATATCCGATTTGCATATGTACATTTATCCGACGTTCTTACGGTGAAGGAAAACATCGTGATGCAACCTGCACATATCTGAGAAGAAATTCAAAGATATGTGTGAAGTCAACCAACCCGCACTTGGCCAGCGTGCTTGACTATGGCCTAATCACCCTTAACTTAGGGTAGGCTCCTCGGTGGGGACGCATAGTGAGCTGATGATGCTGAATAAATATAGCCTATGTAACCCTGGGATAGTGTAGCCTCGTAACTGCGAAATAATTTCTCAAATTGGTTCAGTACTTTCGTAGCCTATTAAGTGCAAACAAACAATCAAATCTTTCCTCTAATACATATAATAAACGTTATACAATATTAACATAATTATAAGAAAACATATTATTTCGAACACGCAGTTCTTTGGTATGTTCTCTTTAACTTACGAAATCGTTCTCAGAAATATGCATAAGTTGTCCACTTTAACCTATTTCTGGATAATATATTTATTCTTTTGCCTTCGAGAATGTTCTAGAATGTTTGTATTAATTGTGATTAACATATCATTGACCTTTAATATGTGCCGCCGCCCTGCGTTTATCGGTCAATAGTCGCGGGTGTCGCAACCCATACAATGCTTATGTCTATCGCTGCTAATAATATTTGTAACTAATTATATAGAAGGATTAATAAAGAATCAAATCTAAGCAATAAACAGTTTCTCAGTCTTATCCTACAACCTACAAGGCCTTAAGGAATCATAGCTGATATTTTAGTTTTAGTTTAATACATAATTGATGAGTGACGGAACAAAAAGAAAAGGTAACTTAGGCATTGGAATCACACTATAAGCTGGTGTGGTTCAAATCACGTTAATTTCTCTAGTAAATTGTCTATAAAGTCGACAGTTTGATGCTGGTCATGATATTTCCGATACTACAAAGATAAATGACTCACAGGTTTCTGAGATTTTGTTAAAATTGAACATTGTGGAATTGTTATTTTTATTACTTTTTTGTCACCCTCATTTGTGGTCACATTGGACTTTATACTGAAAGCCATTTAAAAAATATCTGTTTAAACATATTTTTGGTTTTATTGGTGATAGTCGACAACATGCGCTTGAAGGACTGAGTCTCGGTAGGCAGACAGACTTAAGGTATTGATGTTTTAAATGTTTAGTATATCAAGTTTGTAACGATGTGGGCCACTTTACTTTGGTAAGCCTGACACGCTCGGGTTACCGGTTTATTTCTTGTTACGTCAATCAAGCACCGTAACTTCTCGATATCATGCATATCGTTTGCAATGTTTTGCTCTTACAAAAAATACCGATACTTCTTAAATATTAAAATTTATTTCTTCCCTTCCTATACCTTAGTCTCCAATCATTAAATTGCAATTTTCTACATTTAGTTAGAATAACTAAAATTTATTTACAACTACTGCTGCAACTGTCGCCCTCGACTCAGTCCGCGCGGAATTAAAAAAAAACTATTTGTCGCAGCGTAATGTTATATAGCCTGTTACGGATTTAAAAAAAAAAAAAAACACAATGTCTATGATGTATTATAACTCTCTCTCATTACATTTGTCACATTAGATTGAGCGGGTAATCTTATAACCTAAAAAATTATATTTAAAGATTTCTAATTAATCTTTTATTTTAACCCAAAATTAGTAACAAAACTTTTTGGTCCAAACGATACGGATTACACTGGTGTTACAGTGATTAATTATTTTACAAAATAAACGGCATCGGAGTACAGCGGCACCACGCCCGCAACGCCTGCCGCGCAACAGCGCATCTACAGCTCTTCAGCAAAACTTAAATATGTCAACAGACACTTTAGAAAGGTTAATAAACCGCAGAAGTAATTATAAAGGCCGTCTAAAAAGAATTTACAACTTTGTCGACGAGCAAAACAACCATAAGAAAATATTCGAGCTTCAGACCAGACAAACAGAAATGGCGGGATTATATGAAAAGTACAATACCACACAAGAAGACATCGAAATGATAGATGATCAAGCAACAATATCCCACGAACAAGAGCGAGCTTCCACTGAAGAAAAGTATTTCTCGTATGCAGCTAAGATCGCAGAAATCCTGAAAGAACACGAACTCAACCGCTCTGCATCTTCGTGTCAATCGGTGCTTCAACCCAACTTAAAGCCATCTGTTACTAAGATCCCAAATTTACAGATTCCAAGCTTCGATGGAAACCTAACAGAATGGTCCAGCTTTAAATCCCTATTCGATGGAGTTATCGACTCGCATGAGCAACTGACACACCTCCAGAAGTTTCAATACCTGAAGTCGTTACTACGCGGGGAAGCTGCCGGTCTCATCGACTCCCTCACAGTTACTGAAGAAAATTATCAACATGCGTTAAGTATACTTACTAAAAGGTACGACAACAAACTAATTACTGTTAACTTTCATTTAAAAAACATATTATCAGTTACATCTATTAGTAAGATTAATCTTAAAATCTTTCTTACAAGATTACAACAAAGCCTAGATTCACTCAAAGCTTTAAATGTACCAGTAGATACCTGGGATTTAATACTTATTTATATTATTATTCAAAAGTTAGATCAGAGTCTCAGATCTGCCTGGGAACTTGATTATAAATGTGAAGAATTACCAAAGCTCTCACAATTATTAGACTTTCTAAATCATCGTGCAAGAGCATTTGAACTTATGTATGATCAGAATCAAAATGTCATGAAACCTAATGTACAGATACATAATAAGCCTAAACTGACTCGAGTATCCACCCATGTAGGAACGGTTACTTCTAGCTGCAGTCTATGTAACATGTCTCATGAACTATACAACTGTCCATCATTCCTTGAAATGAGTGCAGTCAAACGCAATGATTATGTAAAATCTAATAAGTTATGCTTTAACTGTTTAAAACCTTACAGATTTCATCATACATGTTCAAAGAACAGCTGCTCTATCTGTTCTAAAAAGCATCATACAGCTATTCATATTGACAATTACTCTTTGTCTACATGGTCTGGTAATACTGCTGCAATTGTAGGCAATACACAAAACAAATTAACTAAAGAAAAGGTACCTGAGTCCCAATCAAAGGTAAGTACCAATAATTTAAGTGACAACAAACAAGCTTCAGTTATGCATTTACACTCAGACCAAGTTCAAGTTTACCTATCTACAGCTGTTATTAAAGTTCAGCAAGATAATGGTGAATGGACTACATGTCTTGCCTTACTGGATAGCGGAAGCCAAGTATGTCTAATAACAAAACAGCTAGCTAACAAGCTCAGCTTATCACTTTCTAACAAGAAAGGTTACATTATACATGGTGTAGGTAGCGATCCCACACACTCATCTCAATCTACAATAGTTAATATTGCATCTCGTAACAGCAATTATGCCACAACATTAACCTGTGTAGTTACTGAACAAATTTCAACAAAGCTACCACAGAATTATATACCACTCGCTAACTTCAAGTTACCTAAAGAATATGAATTAGCAGATCCCACATTTAATGTTCCAAAGGCCATTGACCTGCTCATTGGTGGACATTTATTCTACTCGCTTCTTCTACAGGGCAGTATACAATTAGGTAAAAATCGTCCCACACTCATTAATACAGTCTTTGGATGGGTAGTGACAGGAGAAATTGAATTAACAATGCAATCTTTATATCATAATACAGTCCACACATCGAATAATTTCCACACATTAAATCATATTGACACCCACTTTAACAAAAACTCAGTTATATCAGCTCATATAACTTGTGAACAATCTTGTGATGAATTATTAAAACGGTTTTGGGAGCAAGAGGAACTAAAATCTTCCCCAATACTTACACCAGAACACATATTTTGCGAAGAACTTTACAAAAGCACAACTACTAGAGACCCAACAGGTCGCTTTACAGTAAAACTTCCAATTATACAAGACAAGCTAGATCAGCTAGGTGATTCCTACAGCATCGCTCAAAAATGCTTTATCTCATTAGAGAAAAGATTCACTAACAATCCAGAACTTCATAAACAATATTCTGAATTCATTGATGAATACATAAACTTAGGTCATGCATCTTACATACCTACTTCATCTCCATCAAACACACAAGAGGAAATTAAAAGATTCTTTCTGCCTCATCATGCAGTTATAAAACCAAGTAGTGTTTCAACTAAATTACGTGTAGTTTTTAATGGAAGTAGTCAGTCATCTACATCAGTGTCTCTCAATGAAGTCTTACATGAGGGTCCTAACATTTACACAGATCTAATAGACATTATATTAAGGTATAGAACCTATAAATATGTACTGTCATGTGATATAATAAAAATGTTCAGAAATATAAACATAGATCCTTCACATTGCAACCTGCAATGCATACTATGGAGAGCATCTCCTAACGATGATCTTAAAGTTATTAGACTGAATACAGTCACATATGGGACTAGAAGTGCTCCTTATCTAGCATTTAGGACATTATTAGAGCTTGCCCATCAGGATGGTCACATCTATCCATTAGCAGCAAAATGCATTTTATATCAAACATTTATGGATGATGTCCATTGTGGAACAAACTCACTCTCTGAAGCTAGAGAACTTTGCAATCAACTAATTTCTCTACTTAAAAGAGGTGGTTTTCAGTTACATAAATGGTCATCTAACAATCCTCAGATATTACAAGATGTTGAAAGCAACAAAAGTAAACATTCACCAACCAGTCTTATTATTGGTGATGAAACTAGTACATTAGGTCTCAAGTATGAACCTGCAACAGATACATTTAAAGTTAACATTCCCTCTCAGCAATGTAATTTACATTTTACTAAAAGAATTGTTCTCTCAATTATTGCCAAGATTTATGACCCACTCGGTTACCTTTCACCTGTTACAATCACTGCAAAACTTTTCATGCAACAGCTATGGAAAGAATCCAGTATCATACAATGGGATACACCATTACCTAAACATTTACTCCAACAATGGCTGTCCTTCTATGAAAATATTCAAATATTAAAAGATATTACTATTCCTAGATATTGTTTCTCAGATATACCAAATGAAATTTACTTAGTAGGATATTGTGATGCCTCACTAGTTGCTTATGGCGCATGTATCTACATTGTAGCACATTATCCTAATCATAAACCAACTTCTAATTTAGTTATTAGCAAAAGTAAAGTTGCCCCTGTACGCACAGTCAGCTTACCAAAATTAGAACTTTCTAGTGCTACGCTACTCTCAAAATTAATGAAAAAGGTGAAACTTGCGTTAGAAGTAGCTATTAAAATACATACTGTATACTATTTTACAGATTCAAGTATAGTTTTAAATTGGATAAACTCACCCTACAAGAAATGGGAAGTTTATGTATCAAATAGAATATCACAAATATTACAAAATTCAGATTCTAATTTGTGGATTCATACTAGAACTCATGACAATGCTGCAGACTTACTTACTCAAGGCGTACATGCTAAAGATTTAAATAGTTTATCACTATGGTGGCACGGTCCTACATACTTGCTCTCACCACCTAGTGACTGGCCGCACAGCATTGCTCAAACAGTTACAGATGTAGAAAACTATCTTATTAAAGTAGTAAGCCCTCATACAAATCAAACTGTCTCAGAATACTATAATGATGATGACTTAGAATACTTTATGACCATATTTGAAAGATTCTCAAGTTTTCAAAGATTATTAAACACAATTGCTCAGTGCCACAGATTTTGTCATAATCTCAAACACAAACATAAAATCACAGGTCCTCTCACACCTGAAGAATTAAATGTTAGCCATAACTTTATAATAAAAGTTGTACAAGTATCTCACTTTAAAAGAGAAATATTAGAATTAAAGTCAGGTAAAACTAATTATACCTATTCAAATAGTCCACTCAAAAGACTATCCCCATTTATTGACAGTCAAGACTCTCTATTAAGAGTAGGCGGTAGAATTAAACATGCAAACATTCAATACAATCAGAAATATCCTATAATATTACCCAAGTGCCATGTCACATCTCTCATCATACAAAGATATCACATACAACTCTTTCACTCAGGCATTCAGAACACACTCTCAAACCTAAGACTTACATACTGGCCTATCCATGCTAGAGTTGAAGTTAAGAAAATTGTCTACAAGTGCACAGTATGTACCAGATATCGCGGTCAGACCTGTAGGCAAAAGATGGCTAACCTACCATCTCATAGAGTTAATTCAGAGCGACCATTCCTACACATAGCAGTAGACTATGGAGGTCCAATATACATTAAAAGTTGAAACTTACGCAATGCTAAATTTATAAAAAGCTATATCTTAATACTAGTGTGTCTATCAACTAGATGCATACATATTGAATTATCAACTGATCTTACAACACCATCATTTATTTCATGCCTCAAAAGAT